CGCTAGATTCGGCCCAATATTCTCCAGGTGCTGAACAAGACGCCCGGCAACGATACGCTCAAGGAGCTTACCGGCCTCGTCCAACACGACTATCGGGCGATACCCGGAGGGCTCATCTCTAGGGCGACCGTCCTTCGGGATAAGCACCAGCCGGCCCGTACGCCACGGCTCCGGGAACCTGCCCTCTCGGAGGCACTTGCTAAAAAGCCTTCGAAGTGCAGGTCCCAAACCATCTTCAGTTAGGGCGAGAGCCCATGCCTTGCTCGACAGACCGTCGGGGCCGGGCGCCGTGCGCTTCGAGCGCATCTTCGCCACCACCGCCTTGAATTCCGCCTGGGACACACCTTCCAGCTCTCCGCCGTCAGCGACCTGCACCGTTGCCATTACAGGAGGGACGAAAGCCGTTCCGGATGAGTCCGGAAATAGACCCCCGACCACCCGGTGCAAAGTCTCGGGTGGCAGTGTGCTGGTCGTAGGGGGAGCCCAAGGTCGAAGCGCATTGCGCGCCAGCCTGTAGGGCCGCCCCCATGGATCGCGATCGAGCGAGGCGAGTAGATCGTTCCAGGCGGCTTCCTTTGCCATTCTGATGGCCACGCAAAGGGCCCTCACCGCTGTCCTGTACACTACGTAAAGGCGGTCTTGCTCCTCCGGGTCTCGATGCGTCCTTCGACGTCGGCTCCGTTGGTACGCACGACGAGCTAACACCAGCCCTAGCAAGAGCAGTGTTTCGCTAAATCTACCACCGGAATCGCATCCCACTGAGAAGATCCAGCGAGAAACTCAGTGGACTGTGTCTATGGGAGTTGTATTATTATATGACTGTAACGCCACCGAAAATCTCACCAACATCCAAAATTGCATTAACAATGTGGAAATAAGCGTGCATATAGTCACGGAGACTCGCAAAGTTTGTTTTCGATTGCACTATATTTATTTCTAACTAATGAAATCTGGTCATATGCCGCGCTGCAACTATCGGCAATTTATTGTTGATTATCATTACCCCTCCATACCATACACACACACGAGTGCCCATTACCCCTCCACACTGCAACGTGAATATAGCCGCCTTCAGACAAAAGTTCTCAATTTTATTCAAAAGCGTTGGTTGTTAATCACATGTCAGAGCATTGTTTTCTTATATTTATCACACGTTTCTGTGTTGGTGGACTTAATTTCCAGGGCATTCAATATCTGCATATCAACTAAGGTTAATGCAGAGACTAAATTTTGTATCATATTACTAATGGTTATCACTTTCATTCAGTAACATAAGCAATGTAAGTACCTACCTCTATGGCTAGGTACTTTTATATAAACTAGTGGCCCCGCAGTAGTCGAAATTAGACTATAATTAATTGAAATTATAAGTTTAAACATTATTATGGTCCTATTGTCAAACACTATTATAATTCGATAATATAATCACAGTATTCGCCATAACTGCACTATAGATCAATAATATTAAAGACAAACAATATTAATCTATTTTCAATTCGACCACAGACTTTAAACTGTAACAAAAGTTTCCCAATTGACAGTAAACAAAGAGTATATTTTTATGTTTGTGTTGTGTCAAATACATGGTAGTGGGTGTAATGTTTTGTTTATTGATTTAAAGTAACTTTTATGCACTATTTAAAAAAAAAATGCATTATGCACTCCTTCTCTATATTCTCTATAAGTTTGAGAAATTTCATACTCCTCCGTCCGCGCAATTTCCGTAATAAGGAGTACAAAGTTTTTGTTTCACGTATTAATTTATATAAATTCACTTCGATAAAGCGGCACGACACGAGAACCCTCTCATCGTGGCCGCCGGTAACTACATTCCCGATCCTGCGGACAGAATGGAAAGCAGTCGACGTCGCCCAAAACACGTCATCTCGGATCCTCCTGATCCACTAACGGTGCTTTTAGGTACTTCAAGCACCGGTCACCGTTCTCGTCGAACCCGTCGCTTGCGACGAAGGGCTCGACGAGTAAATTAACTCTCAGACACAGCCCACTGAGTTTCTCGCCGGATCTTCTCAGTGGGTCGCGTTTCCGATCCGGTGGTAGATTCTGCGAAGCACGGCTCTTGCTAGGGTTCGTGTTAGCAACATCGTCAGGTTTGAGCCCCGTGAGCTCACCTACTAAAGTTAGGGTTACGCTGACATAGCCGCTAGGGCTATCAGCTTAGGTAGGAAAAAAAAATAATATATATATATATATAAATTTTATACCCTCTAGTAACAGCTGTTTTGTATAATTAAACTTTAAAGTTCAATTTATCGAATTCCAGGGTCTGATGAAACGCATGTACGGTGAAGAACGACACATATCAATCTTAAAATCTGAACTAGAAAACTACATTGAAGACGACTACGAAGAACCTCTATTGAAACAGTCAGGCTTCGCCGAAGACATCGTCAAGGCTAAAATGATGTACACTAAAACAAGTCAAGGACGTGCCATGAAAGATCGACCCTACTTTCGTCCTATTAATAGCGAAAAGACAAAAAAGACGGAAAATGACACTCTTAAAGTGAAACCTTTAGAAGTAATCGAGAATAAAACAATACATAATGATGATTCTAATAGAACTGAATCCAATAATGATGAAGGTCTTTCATATAAAACCAAACTGGAGAGCATAGCTAACATTGAAATCAATAACTTAGACCAAGAAATTATTACTCTAGAAGCGGTAATAAAACAGAGCATTGAAACGCACAGCATATACCCGAAATCTTCTACAGATATTGATGCAATAGACGAGAAGAATACAACCGATATTTCAAACGCCACGTCCGCAGATTTTATCAACACAACTGATGTTATCACAGATAAATTAGAAGAAACAACAGAATCTGGAAAAGATGGATGGAATCCAATGAACGTTGATACTTCTACTTTACCCCCAACATTACTTTTTTCTGAGCACGAGAGGATAAAAATCGAGAAGAATGAAAATAAAATTAATGAGAAAAAAGATGAGGTGAGAGTGAAGCCACAGCACCAAGAGGGAGCCAGACCTGCAGTCATTAAGCTTGGCGGAGCGTGAGTTACTTTCAGCGCATAAATAGCTTACATCTAGTAATTTGTGTAATTAGTTGTGATTTTGATAATTTACGAACTATTTTTGGTCATTAACTAGTGACTGCGATCCTCGCTATCCAATCTCTCTGCTTTCAGGCATTCCAAGCACTGGTCACCGTTCTCGTCGAATACGAGAAAGGTTTCGATGTGCAACTTAACCCACAGACACAACCCTGCCCACTGAGTTTCTCACCGGATCTTCTCAGTGGGTCGCGTTTCCGATCCGGTGGTAGATTCTGCGAAGCACTGCTCTTGCTAGGTTAGCCAGTGTTAGCAACACTCCGGTTTGAGCCCCGTGAGCTCACCTATACGTTAGGGCGAAGCTGAAATAGCCTCTCAAGGCTATCAGCATAGGTAGGAAAAAAAAATAAAAAAATATAAAACACAACCCACTGAGTTTCTCGCCAGATCTTCTCAGCCGGTCGCGATTCCGATCCGGCGGTAGAATCAGTAAACCACTGCTTTTGCTAGGACAAATTTTAACAAAGTTTCATAAGGCGAGTCGCATGTGCTCACCACCCATCCGATGAAATCAGAATAGCTTCTTAAGGCTACTGGTAATAAGGTAGAGAAAAAAGACAGAATCGTTGCAACTCAAGATGTCCTTAATCCCCACCTCAATTTAGTGGTATTAGTTTAAAAATTGGAGATCCAGTTCGTGCTTATAACACTTTGTCAAATTACGATGAGTTTTCGAATTAAATTAATAGGAACGACGACCGATAGCATAAAATAAAAATGTATTGTTTACAGCAACGCGTGTGAATCCACTGAGACTCTAACAGCGCCGTTCTGGGCCAACAGCACCAGAGGGGAAGTATTAGCATTACTGAATATGCACCCGTTTGAGCAGTACATACACATGGAGACCTGCTTGCATGAACGGAAACAGATGTACTGCAGAGAAGGATGCAGGTAAATGGGCTAGAGATAAAATAATTTGCAAACAGTTTTAGTCGCTTCTTTTCTAACGAATCTATCTTCTTCGAAAGTCACAAGAATCGATAAGACAGTCAATAAACTGAATCAAAGGGACCGCCGATCCTCAGCAACGGGATAATGATTGAGAATGAGGAGAGATTCTGAACTTTTTTTTTGCATAGATGGGTGGACGAGCTCACAGCCCACCTGGTGTTAAGTGGTTACTGGAGCACATAGACATCTACAGCGTAATTGCGCCACCCACCTTGAGATATCAGTTCTAAGGTCTCAAGTACAGTTACAACTGCTGCCCGACCATTCAAAATGAAACGCATTACTGCTTCACGGCAGAGATAGGCAGGGTGGTGGTACCTACCCGCGCGGACTAACAAGAGGTCCTACCACCAGTAATTACGCAAATTATAATTTTGCTGGTTCGTTCGTGCGTTCGTTTGTTAGTGTGTGTTCCATTTGCAGATGTGAGCAACAATACCGTCTCCACCGTCTCTTGGCGTATGACCCTCGTAACGAATGCAGAGGAATCTTCGCGGACTGGTTTAGGTTTCCGACCTGCTGCGTTTGCAAGTGCTACGACGTGCCGGTCGAGTTCCGAGCTCGATCGCCTCGGATCCTGCATCCTCAGTACGACGAAAAAGTCAAGAGAGTCATTTTTGAAGACGTCGCCAGAGACTGGTACATGTCCGCTTATGATGATGAGGATTTCCTTTGAGGTAACTATTTAATTTTTACATTCATACAACATACAGCTTCAGCAGAAATTTCAAAAAGCGGAAGTATTCGGGTTTGGGGTCTTCTTATTCTTTTTTGCCTTTCGCGGTTGAGACGATGGGCCCTTGGGACCCTGAGGCAAAGAAATTATTAACTGAAATCTCCAAACGCTTGAAGGAGGTTACACGTGATGCTCAGGCTGGCTGGTACTTTGCACAGAGAGTGAGGCTAGCTGTCCAACGAGGCAACGTAGCCAGTATCTTGGGAACTGTGCCTCCTTCAAGCGCATTGGAAGATTTGTTCTAATGTGTGAGTTGATTTATGTTAAATTATGTATTTTGATTTCTTATATTGTAATAAAAATCTTTACATTTATCTGTTATTGCCGACATTGAACTTATTTGCACCTTAACGTGAGTTTAGCCTTTTTTTTTCTACCTAAGCTGATGGTCTAGAGCAGAGGCTCCCAAACTTATTTTGTCTATTGCCCACTTTGACAATAAATTATTTTTAGCGCCCCCCTTTTTTACCTACTTAAAAACCACCATAGCTCAGTCGGTGTCTAAGAGTCTTCCTAGATGAAATTACAAATCGCCTGCCAAGGCGGTAGGCAGCGGCTTGGCTCTGCCCCTGGCATTGCTGAAGTCCATGGGCGACGGTAACCACTCACCATCAGGTGGGCCGTATGCCCGTCTGCCTACAAAGGCAATAAAAAAAAAAAAAAAAAAAAAAAAAAGCCTCTACACAACGCCCCCTTTTTTTCTGGGTCTTTTCCCGCCCCCCGGCCTGTAGCGCCCACAAGGGGGCTTTATCGCCCACTTTGGGAAAGGCTAGTCTAGAGAGACCATGTCAGCGTCGCCAGGCCAGTAGATGAGCTCACGGGGTTCAAACCTGACGATGGTGTAGCCTCTTATTAAGAGACATGGCGATTTTTTTCCTTTAATGACCCATGAAAACGATTGTCGCCCCAACTTGAGATATGAGGTCAAAGTTTCAATTGCATTATATGACAACTGTTCCATTATCAAAGCCGAATCGCCTGATGAAGACAGAAACAGTCAAGCCATTGCCATCAGTGATTAAATGCTTGCTTCATAAATAATTTTATTCTATAATATATTTATGCTCAAATATTTTTTCCAGATTTGTATATCCTGCCTTCAAGACTGATTCAGCGGTTAACAGTAATCTAAGAACCCACCTAAGAAATATATTTATTAAAAAATTATTAAAAAAAAAAAAGCGTATATTAAAATGTATTTAACTATTTACGTTTGTTACTGACTCATACTCGTTGTATTTATTAGTTTAAGTTAACTTATTATAGATGTAAATTATATTTGTTATGTTTTATAAATTGTATTCGGATTTTATTAATCCATTAATTTAACATTATAATTAATTAAAATTTAAATCTTATGCGTGAAGTTAATTTTTTTAACAATTTTCTGTCGTCTTTTATAATTATATAGGTATGTAATTTTGATACATTTGTACTTTTACAGAAAGCGGCAGGATTTATTTAGCATGTTCTTTTAAATCGTAAATAATTGTAAATTGTTGGTCGCGGAACTCGCGGATTGAAAACAGTTTTACACAAATACAGATTAACCCCAAAATATAATAATGTAAACTAGGAATGTAAAATTCAAAGCTAATAAAGTTGTTTATTTAATTCTTTCATAACAATTATCTGAGGAAAAATAACTTTAAAAAATATACTTCAGTATACACTTAACAATCAAAAATACACTTAAAACCTATGATTAAATTTAAATCTATCATTGATTAAAAACAATATTAATTAACACCGGCGAATCTTTGGATATTTTGTTGCAAAATTTGAATTTGGAACCAAAGTAGATACTCTATGACTAGGACACAGTTGTTAATTGTCTATGAAATGCCACAGTATGTGCAGGATACAAAATAATAGTTTAAAAAGTTCTATGCCTTAAATCAGAATTGAATGATAAATATTTATCGGAGCTCGTAGACAATACGACATATAAGTACCAATCCAAAACGTAGAATAATGTAAAATGTTTCAAATAATTCCAAGTATTTTTTTTTTATTCCAGTACTACCTACCAATTTGTTTCGTCATTCATTCCCTGATTCGTGCACTCATTAAGTTTTCATAAATTTATGACCAGACGAAATGGTGAAATGAAAATCATTTTCTACGCGTGCTCAAAAAATTTTCTTTTCAATGTTAAAGATAAAGATTTATAAAAGACCGTCTATAATTATTTAATGTAAGGCTAGTGAACTTTTTAGCGAATTTTACAGATTTCTATTACTAACATATCCGACTTGAACTTTGTTTTGAAGTCCAATAAAGTTATATGGTAATGTTACATGTAGTTACGTTTTTTTTTTGTGAATAGAGTTTGTCTTAATTTTGGCCTCACATTCACATTATGGTTGACTATCAATTTTCGCATCTCGTTGATTTGAACGAGGGAAAATTTGACATCAAGCCCACGAAAAGCACAGCCGTGCTCTTCAAAAAGGGTCGCCCCGACACTACTGCTAATATCTCGTCACCAATTAGGGGCGTTAACTCCGTTCCCGCCATAAAAATCTTTGGCCAGCCCATACCGTGGGCTTCAAAGGCTAAGTACTTAGGCGTCACTCTCGAGACGGGGATGACATTCGGACCCCACATTAAGTCAGTACGCAACCCCTCGTTCGACTCTACTCCATGATCTGCAAGCGAAGTAAATTGTCCCTTCGTAACAAGGTGACAGTCTACAAAACTTGCATACGTTCTGTCATGACCTATGCAAGTGAAGTGTTCGCTAACGCGGCCCGTACACACATTAACTCTCTACGGATCACCCTATCCCGTTTCTGCAGAATAGTCGTGGGAGCACCGTGGTATGTGAGGAATGTAGATTTTCACGCCGACCGAAATCTATTACCGATACGTAAGTAGCTCAAGGAAGCGTCAGAACGCTATTTCAACAAAGCGGCGCGACATGTAAACCTTCTTATCACCGGTCACCGTCTTCGTTGAACTCGTCAACTACGGCCTCAGTCTGAGAGAATTTGCTAACACTAGCCCTAGCAAGAGCAGTGCTTCGCAGAATCTACCACTGAATCGGAGTTGTGACCCACCGAGAAGATCCGGCGAAAAGCTCAGTGGGCTGTGTCTGAGCCTTAATAATTTGCTCGTCGAACCCTTCGGCTTCGACTCGGTCGTTGAGGTACCTAAAAACACAGCTAGTGGTTCGGGAGGATTCGAAATGACGCGTTTAGGCCTTAGGGCGACGACGACTGTTCACCATTCGGTCCGCAGGCTCGGATTTGTAATTACCGGCGACCACGACTAGCGGGTTTTCGTGTCGCGCAGCTTCCTCAAAAAGGCGCACTGATGGCGACTGTAGCTGCTTACTAATGGAGTCCAACTTCAAGTCGTCATGAGGATCCAAGCTCTTCACGAACCACGGTGCTCCGACAGCTATTCTGCAAAAACGGGATTGAATGACTTGAAGAGGTTTTATGTTAGTGTGGGCCGCCTGAGCGAACACTACACTGACATAGGTGATGACCGGACGGATGCAAGTTTTGTAGATTCACCTTATTTCGAAGGAACAATTTACTTCGCTTGTAGATCATCGGATAGAATTTAATGTTGAACATCAAGGACGCTTAAATATTTAAGAAAGTGATAAAAAAAAAAACTGACGGGAACGCATCATTTCAAGTATGTAGAATTGTTTTAAATAAAAATGCGATCATGTGATCACAAAAATTAATAAATGTATTCAAAACGTCAAAATAATGTGACTAATACTATCTATAGACAATATAACAACGTAAAAGTAGGCACCTATGTCTTCGACTAGCGAAATCCAAAGAAAATTGTATCACAATTATTCAATTTATTTAAAAAAAAAATTCGGGCTTAAACATAGAAAAATCATGGCTTATTAGTCATTTAGTATCAGAAAATATGAAACAAACCATTAATTTTGTTGGTTTAATCAAAAAATACATTGACCTGTCCGTCAATTCCCACAGCTTTTACTGATAGATTATTTTATTTTACTGATAGGTCATAGTTGTTACTACTTTGTATTTACTGAATGAAGTAAGCCATTTAATTCTGTAATACCATGTTGTAATGTAAAACAAACACGGCTTTTACTGTATGCTACAAGAGATTTGATAGTATGGGCTTTGTTCCCTTTGCTTAACCAAACGAATCAAACAATGTCAAATTGTCAACTGATCTCAACATTATAAAGTGGAGATAAAATAGTAATAAAATCGTTAACTTTGCATTTTCAGTTAACTTTAGTTTCATTAATTCTGCAAAACATCGCTGGTGATAAATTTATTCCAGAGTGATTTCTTCCATGAGTCATTTAAAATTAAAATAAGTTTCCATTTAAAATGTCGGGCCGAGGGAAGAAAGCTGCGCCGCGAAAAAAGGCAAATGGATACAAAATGCCTGCTCCTATTCCCATCGGAGAGGTAATATGTGACACCACGGCCAAGAAAAAATGGAGGATAGGTCCTTCTGTAGGCGTTGGGGGCTTTGGAGAGATATACGCTGCTTGCGAAGATGGCTCTCCCAGGAAGAATGCGAATTACCCGTATGTTGTCAAAATCGTAAGTATCTGCTGATCAATCGATTGATTTTTTTGTTCATTAAATAAGTATAAACCAACACTTTTTTCCTTTTTACTTAAAAACGAAAGTAAACTAGACTAAATACAAAAGAAGTTTTTTACGCGCCAAATCATACATACAACAATCGTAAAATAAGGAGCCACTAAAAACTTATTAAGTGCATTCAAACAGACTTATAGTGAAAATAAACATGGTTTCGTTTTCAAATTATAATACAGAATTTGTTTGCATCTGGTTGTATTTTTTATATTTGTACGAGTCATGTATCATACAGGGCCAGCGCGCACATCATATTGCAGACCGATGCATTTTACGTCAAAGTCATTAATTTTCGAGTCAGTTCGTGTACCGCCATCAGCAAGACGTCGCGTGCTCGCATAATGTCATTGTTATCATATAAATAATCATAATCAGCATACTCCTATCAATAAACAATTAATCAGTATTGGAGTTGTTATCATTATCACAGCAGAGGGTTGTGCGGACAAACCGTACAATATTCAAATTGTATTAATATATTTCTATGCAAAATAGGTAAATATTACTCTACACCAATACATTACAAAATCTACAAATATTCTAGTACTACCTGTTCATAGATTTAAGAAAACTACCAAGGAATGTTTCTGCAATAATGCAAATTGTTAAGTCAAAGATTTAGAAAAAAATATTACTAGATGACCTGGTGTGTAAGTGAGGAACTGCAAATCTTTTCATCTTACTGCTATAATCATAAAAACTCAAGTATATCATTTACATGCTGTTGAGTGTTTTCACATTCTTGTTGGAATTGTATCTCTCGACCGTATCGATTTAGTAGATATAGAATTTATTATGGCTTTTAATAAAAAAGTTCAATGACATGCAAATTGAAATTAATAAATTTATATTTGTAATTTCACTCAATACAATTCAATACCATTTCAAGGTGCACCTTAGAACCTTCAGCCTCTCAGCATGCAAATGACTAAAACCACTTAAAACAGTAAAATTACTGCTGAAATTGCACAATTCAATTAAGTTAATTTTTAAGCTTGAAATGAAAAAGTAGCCTAAAATTCTGTTTTGAATTCAAGTATATAAATCTGCATATATTTTGATGTTAAACTAAATATATTTTGTGAAATACAATCTTGTTACAGGAACCTCATGAGAATGGGCCCTTGTTTGTTGAGAAACACTTTTACCTTAGAAATGCCAACAAAGATGATAGTAGGTATTTGTCAAATGTACTAATGAAATTTTAATAAAAAGGTTGATTTTATTGACCTCTAAAGGCCACTAGAGATTTGTGCATAAAACTTTGAGTTGAGGGGTGGCATCTTGCTCTGATGTTTAGGAGTCCTTACTATAAAAATTCTATTAATAATATAACACAGTAACACAGACAAAACCCAGCTTGTTTGGCTGTGGATCTTCTTGCAGTGCAGTGGGTTAAATTCCAACCTGGTGGGTGAGTTTACCGTCCAAAAAAGGCGAAGCCAGAATAGCTTGAGGCTAGAGGCAGATAAATAGGAATAAAATGCCTGCCTAACCATCCTGCCTATTCCTGGTGTGAAGCAGTTTATGTCCAGTTTGATATTTAAATTAGCTTCTACAATATAATTGACACTGTGAAATGTGTCTTATACCCACAAGACACCATCACTTGGTAGCATTCACATTGTCATGCTTATGGGCTCTGGTAATTTTTTTTATTTGCTTACATGGGTGGACGAGCTCACAGCCCACCTGGTGTTAAGTGGTTACTGGAGCCCATAGACATCTACGACGTAAATGCGCCACCCACCTTGAGATAGAAGTTCTAAGGTCTCAAGTATAGTTACGACGGCTGCCCCACCCTTCAAACCGAAACGCATTAGTGCTTCACGGCAGAAATAGGGAGGGTGGTGGTACCTACCCGCGCAGACTCACAAGAGGTCCTACCATCAGTAGAGGTGGGACTACAGGGGAGGACTACTTAAAATCACTTTGGCAATGAGTTAATTCACCCATACCGCCCTATACCATTTCAGTTTCACAGTTTATGAAGGAAAGGAAACTAACAAGCCTTGGAATGCCGACTCATTTTGGCAGCGGCTCTCACATGTACAAAGGTGAAAAGTACAGGTACCTTATATTAGAAAGATATGGTAAAGACATTTGGAGCATTTTCCTGGAGAGTCAGAGGTTATTCTCACCGACTGCAGTCTTCCAATTAGGATTACAAATGGTTAGTAATACTAATATTTTATTTAGTGATGAAAACTTATTAGTATCTGTAGGTGGCAAGCCAAGTTCATGATTCTAGTCCTAAATGATTATAAGATTACCATAGACCTTAATGCAATCTAGTGACATCTGATAAAGTAGTACAAGTCTTAATTTCAGTACTGGCAGACAGCCAGATTATCATATTGATCAATACAGGTTCATAGTGTGATGATTTAAGCTCAATCCATGTGCTTAAACCTATACCTATAAATGAGATAGCATACATATTCTACATTTAAAATATTAAGAACAATTTTTTTGTATTGCTTATATGGGTAGATGAGGTCACATTAAACCCAGAAAGTTTCATTCTTCTCAGTGTAATAGTTCCGCAGCTGCCCCATTTTTCAAACTGAAACTCATTACTGCTTCACAGCAGAAATAAGTATAGTGGTGGTATTTATCTGTGTAGGCTCACAAGAAGCCCTACCATCAGTCACTTATCTATAATAATGAAGTTTACTATTCAGAGCAATAGAGTAGCCGAGTTTTAATTGCACAGATGATTAGTTTAAGTCTGCCTAAACATGACCAGTGTGCTTTTGCACTATCTAGTCGGTCTAGGTAACTTTGTACCAGCAAACTGCATCATATGATAACACATGGCTGCCGCTAATTTCTTCATGGTTTATAGATACCCTAGTCCCTACATCATAAACATGAGAGTTATTTGGCAGGCAGTTGTAGTATTTTTTTTTAACCCTAAAAATTTGTTTATCAGCTAGACATATTAGAGTACATACATAATCGGGGCTATGTTCACGCTGACATCAAAGGAGCTAATATTCTGATGGGATTGAAGAAAGGGAAAGAACACCAAGCTTACCTCGTAGACTTTGGATTGGCTTCTCGGGTCAATGACAAAGAGTTCAAACCAGACCCTAAATCTGCCCATAATGGAACTATTGAGTACACAAGTCGTGATGCACACTTAGGTGGTGAGTGCTGTTATTTTTTAATGAGATGATGATCCTGTTATGTTTTGGTTTCTCTAGTACATTGACGTAATGGACTAGAATGTTGCTGTGTCTTCATATCTCAAATCGAAATGTCAACCTATTTGGAATGGAGGCTGTACTGGTGACGGCATACCCATATGCCTGCTCTTTACATACACTAAGCATAATTTTTCTATTCTAAAATTGTTAAGTTCATAATCGCATTAGAGCCCAAATATACACTGCTGAGCATGCACAGTTTGAGACCACTATTTTCCATTTCCACCACTGAGCAGTAATGCATTCAGAATTGATGAGCTCTACCTTATGCCTTAAAGCAATCGGCGTCATTGACCTCATGGTGTCTGGGTTGAGATAATGAATTCACCAAGTGGGCAGTCCAGTGGACACCTGGAAGACATGAAAAAATAAAAACTTTGAATGTTTTGTACATTTTACAATTACAGCAAACTGTACATCAGATCATCATCATATCTGCATAAATTTTTATTTTAGTACCGACGATGCGTGGTGATCTAGAGATTTTGGGCTACAACATGCTGCAGTGGATAACAGGGGAACTGCCATGGGAAAAATCATTGAAAGATCCTCGCACTGTTCAAACATTGAAAGAAGCCTTCATGAAAAACGTGAAAGCCAATATCACAAAACAGCACCATGATGTTCCTGGTATGGTTAATCATCATTCTCCTGCCCTTCTCCCAGTCACCTGGGGTCGGCGCAACATGTTTTCTCCTTCCGTACTTCTCCATCATATTCTTCACTCACTACCCTCTTACACATATCGTCTTTCAAGCAATCCATCCATTTTTTCTTAGGTATGCCTCTTCCTCTAATTTAATGCAACGCACAATTTATAAAATTTTAGTAATTATTCAACGGGAATTAATAAGTACAACATCTGACCTGTTTCAGTCACAAAGTTGTAATGTAATCCAAATGTAAGTGATAGAGTAATCAGTAGATCTCTCCACTCTGCATTTATTTTTGTATTTGGCGTCCACCAGCCCTGCTCAATTAACATGATTAGTACCAAGGTTATTTTTATTGGTTAGTTGGTTGGACAAGTTTATGGTCCACCTGGTGATTAGTGGTGACTGGAACCCATAAACATCTACAATGACAAAGCCACCCCCCCCCCCCCCCCCCCTTTTAAACATGAGTTCTGTGTCTTAGTTATTGCATTACAGCAGCTGCCTTATTTAATTTTTATTACACGATGTTATTCCTTCACCGTGGAAGTCAATCATGAACATTTATTAAGTAATTATTTTATTGGAAAAATTGGTACCCGCTTGCGGGATTCGAACACCGTTGCCACGCTAGATACCGGACGTCTTAACCTTTAGACCATGATGACTTCTAAATAAATCTAACTTAATCCAATTCTACTTCGATATGAAAATATACAACTTTACCTATAATTTTTCAGATGCTCTAATAAAATTCTTTGAGTACATAAACACATTGGAGCCCAAACAAATACCAGATTACGTGAAATGTCGGCAACTCTTCGAGACTTACCTCAAAAAGGAAGGGAAAACAAAAACAAGTAAACTAGAATTTACACCAAAGAAAAAACCGAAAACAAGAACACAAGACAGCGAGGACGACAGTGTCAAAGAGAACAAAGTGACTAAACGGAGAGGCAAGCTCACCAAAGTCACCACTGATACGGTTGCTGACGGACCAGAAAAAACTACAAACATCAGACAAATAAAAAGGAAATCCACCGAACCTGCTTTAGTAGTCAAAGTTAAAAAGACCAGACTAGCGCCGAAGGCCACGCCTCCGACCAAGAAAAATCACGCGAACATCGCGACACAGACCTCCGTTGAAAAGGCTAAAGGCAGACAAGTCTCTTTCGACAGTCCAATCAGTGAAGTGATCGGTGAAAAAAGTTCAGTGAATTCAAGTGGTGATATATTTGATGATTCATTCGTTATTGAAGAGAGGAAGGTTAAACGTCCAAGGAAAGTAGTAACCGATGAGCATGTCACTATTAAAAAGGTCGTTAGAAAGAGAGTTGTGAAGAAGGGCAGGTCCTGGAAGGACGCGCCTACCGTCGTCAACGGACGATCGCCCCCCACATAAACCACTCGTGTTGAAAGGGTTTTAGGGACAGTTTCAGAAAGATCAACACCGATGTGGTATTTTTATATGAAGACCAGATAATACTGAGTCATGCTTAAGAAATGTACTAGAGCAGATTGCTTCGTAACATTGAACCAAAAATTGTGCATTTTTTTGAAATGTCCTTAAAATGTTATCTTTTACTACATTGCAATATACAAAGTTATTTGTTAAAAATAATAATGAATAAGACTTAAATTTTTAAGTATTAAATACAACATGTAAGAACCTTCACATCTGTTTCTAACAAACCTATACAGGAGACAGTTCCTACTGCTACAAATGCTGACTGTAATTTTTCTCTTTGATATAATGCAATAGAATAATTTCTCTGGATTATTAAAAATATTTCTGGTATGTGATTCTACCAGACATTCAAATCCCTTTTTTAAAATGTGAATGTGTTGTTTGCTACGATATAAATTGTAAAATGTTATGTAGCATACATGAGTCGACTATTATCAAAGCCGGCAATCTGACTTTTGGACAATGATTGGTAAATCAGAAAAACGAATTATTGACTTTGTATTCCATTGGCAGTCACAAAACTCTTCGGAACGACATCTTAGATAAATAACAGGTTAACTATTAACATTTATTTAATGCAGGTTTTGAACCGTATTGTTTGAAGGAGACGATTATATTCAAATCAATCTGTATTGACATATCAATAAAATTTTTTTGTCCAAATGCACAGATTGCCACCTTTGATAGTAGACGACTCACATATCGTTGTTAGTATATTTCATTTTAATTAAGTTGTAAGTATTTCGAATGTTTGAATTTATGTTTTAAATGAAATGTTATTATAATCTTTTGTGTATCTACTTTATACAAAAAAAGTTGTTTGAAATTCCTAGAAAATAAAGTCTGATACATTATCACATCCTTTATGTTAAAAATTGTTTCGCTACGTCACTTTTCGTTTTTAACATTATTAACGCGTACTAACAATTTAAATAATGTTCACTATAGACATTAATGAATGCAATGTAGGATCTAGTTTTCGCAAAAGTATTTTCTGTGTGTAATTGTTTTGTGCTTTTTGTAGATATTTCCTGGTTCAACAAAAAAAAATTTATATCATTTAAAAAAATCTTGTCATACTAATTCATTTTCATGTGGCTACTATATCTTTAGTATAGAGATTGTGTTTTCATTTCTGCAATGTCATCATTGTTGTCCGTCTATGTTGTCAGAAATGTTTCGTTTATATTAGTAATAAGTATTTTTTTAAGTAATTTGAAATAGTATAAACCACCACCGCAATAAGAATAGCACAAATAACTTGTACCTTAATAGTGCCATTTCCATAAAATAAGATTAAAATTTACACCGCTGTTAGTGCAATGTTATCAAATAGTTCAATAATCCAAATATAAAATTGTACTTGTCAAATATATAGCACTAACTTATTGATTAGCCTCTTAGTGTAGTTTTGTACAAGTGAAAGTACTAGCTCATAAAAACTAAGCTTTTATTAGTACAAAATTTTTATTGCCTCTAAAGACATTTCAACACCGAAAATTGTGCCAATAAATAACAATTAACATAACGGAATTAAAATTATTAATTAGAAACGAATGAGCGTGTGTTAGTTTCTCGAGGAAAATATATAAATGATTGTTGCTCAATTCCCACTCAAATAAGGCTGGTGAATTAGCATTATAGCATGAACACACGAATTGTACAAAACACCCAACATAAGTAACTCAACTCTTAACATTGTAAGCCAACATGAAATAGTAATCGATCGAAATTAATTGTAATAATTTTTAAATGATTCATTATTAAAATCATTATACTTTTTAAATTTAATGCAAAAATTAATTAGAATATATTATATTGTAATTGTATTGGTTGACGGTCGGCCTTTAAAAGCACTACGAGGAAATAAACTTTATATTAAGATGATTTTTGAGGGCTAGTCTGAGTTTCTGCAATAATGTTTAGTTACATTACCATCCCACCTCACATTACACCGAATACGAATAAATTCTTCTATACACATAGTGATATTGTAATCACCCGAGCCACATACGGTCGTCCAATCTCCAAGATTTTTCTTTATAAATTCGTGGTTCTGTGGTCGTTCGTTCTCATTCACTCATTCATTCTTTGTCCAATTATTATTCATAATTATTTTCGTTAACTTATTAATTTGATTATTACTTTAGGGTACTGGCGTGTACTCGGTTTCGATGATCGCATGCATGAATTTTGTATATTGATTATAAGTTTGTTAATATAATGCGAAATAATAATAAAAAATATTTCAATATAGATATTCTGTACGTTTTATTTGACTTTTCAAGGACATTTTTAAGGGACTTGAATAAAATTATTAAAATGCGCAAATCCAAAGCTTTTATTTCGTTTTATTATCATTATTATTATTTACAATATAAAATAAACAAGACTTAACATATGAAAACATTTTATTTAGACAACGTAACACAGCGCAGACCGCGCGCCGCCCGGCCCGGCCTGCGGTCGCCGTGTCGTCTCGCGAATTACAAAAGCTACAACTACGTGTGAACCCGGGCCCCGACTGCAAGGGACCACCACAAGACTCATTACGTTTACTAATTAAATACATGTCGTGGTGAGGACCCTTGCCGCGTCGCGGGACGCGTGAGCGGTTCTTCTCTTAGCACTGAGTAAAACATGGAAGTCAATATTGCTTAATTAAAAGCGTAATTAATCATTTATTATCAAAGACCCGCATTGTTTATGGCCTCCATATGTTACTAATAGCTATGCGTGTTTGAAAAGGCAACGTGGAAAACGCTTCACGTATCCGCGATTTGACCTCTCGCTCGTGAACCCATTTGGAACTATGAATTTAGATATTTTGTACTGTTTAAACATTCTTTCTGGGCGATTTTGAACTTTCCGAAGCCCAAACAGGTTCAACACTACTAACTTTATGAATATTATTAAAGACTCGTAAATACAATGGCAGTAACAGCGTTCAAGCTGTCCATCGACTAAACACAAAATAGTAGCACCATTTGTAAAAAAATATATTGTTTATTTTTCTTAATCTTTTCAAACACAACAAAATTTTCCATCTCTATTTAGTATCGCCTCAACGTCACCGCGTGAACTGGCTGGCAATTATGTCGGATTTACACCAATTAAAACATTACTTAGTATTATTTAGATTTCTATTTCACTATTTCGTTTATGTTAATGTTAATTAATGTAGTTATCTCAGAAATTTTCAAACGTACAATTTCTCATTCAATTCTATTGTTACCAGGCACTCGTAAGAATATGTATAAAGCCTCGAGCAACGAAAATATTTAATAAATACAGCAATAAAATATGATGTATATTCACATTAAATTGAGAAAATAGGTTGAAACCATTTATTGATTTACTACATTGCGTCAAAATAAGTTTATTATGGTTATTTATTTTTGTATAGTAACAGCAACACGGGAATGTTCGATTTTGGGGTTTAAATTTTGAAATCTCCCGCCAATTCACCCGAAACCCGCGCAATCAACTTCGCGCGACACTAGCGCTACGCGTCGTCGCAGTATGTGTAACATTTGAAAAAAGTCAGTCGTGAAAACTTGAGCATTTGGCGGTAAGTCTGTATTACTTTAAAAATCGTTTTTTTTATCGAGCATTTATCGTTCCTAACCGACGACTAAATATTTGTGTGGATAGGCATACAGCAAAGAACATAATTAACATGTATCCTCATATATATACATTGCCCAACCAGTTCACTTTTCGTAGTCCCAAGCCCTTGCAGCGTAGCGTGTTAACTTTGTCCATTACTCACTAACATCGGCCGCCACTGAGATAAGACCAACCGTACCTACCCCTCTGTATACTTGGTGTGATAAACCCACATAATCTAATCTCGCGGTACCGACAATATTTCATACATTCTACGTACTAAAAACCTTAAAAAAGAACATTAACGCCATTTAATTGTAAGAGGAACATATTTACTTATTCATTATTTACTGTTTAAAAATTGAAATCAGGACTAGTGGGTGCATTTACAACTTTAAATTATCGCAATTTTAGAATAGTAGTTTCGCCCCCGGTAAAATGTGGAATTATATGACATAATAGTATTGTATCAAAAGGTGGTAGATCAATGAAATAGGATGAAACGTTTGACTTTAGGTGAGACTGAAAAAAAAATTTCAAATTTAACAGAATCCTTTTTCAATCTCGTTTTTTTTTGTAATGCATGACAATTTATTTGGGTTAATTGTTATAAGCATTTCAGTACTAATGTGTTGGGTAGTCGAACAATGTTATAAATGAAAATTATTTTTTAACACTCCCATCCTAAATTTCCGATAAATTATTAATTTGTTGTCAACACGGAAAACCTTGCTATTATTTACTTAATAATTATTTAATATAAATATATATGTAACATTTTGTATATTTTAATTTATTTAAATATAATAAAATAAGGCCGCATTCACACTAGCTTTCGATGTCGCTATTGTACTGTTCCACACCAATGCAAATGAAGCCACGGTGACTCCTTCTAAAATACGCTTTTTAAATAACTATTAAACCCGAGGGATGATTTTGATTGTCCTTTCAATCTACCCTGCTTTCAATATTTCATTTAATACTTTTGTGCCCACTGAGTTTCTCGCCGGATCTTCTCAGTGGGTCGCGTTTCCGATCCGGGGTAGATTCTGCGAAGCACGGATCTTGCTAGGGTTCATGAGCTCACCTACTAGTTAAGGTTCCGCTGAAATAGCCTTGAGAGGCTTAGGTAGGCAAAAAAAATTTGTAGAAACATGTTAACATAATAGGCACACAAAAATCATTCAGAGTTCAAAATATGGAATATCTAGGGAAAATCGTGAGAAATCTCATCTATGAGGTGGCAATCTAAGGCCAGACCATGTTCGACGCAAACCAAGCCAGGCAGTTCTCCAGTGTGCTTAGTGCGAGTTTATTAACGTTATCAATCGAGCCATTTAAAATTTAAAATTTGAAAAAAAAAAAAAACTTTAAATAGACATAAAAACTAACTAATAGTACTGAAGTAACGAACGGAGTAAGCTTAATTGAAGTTCAATTAAAAACATCGTATTGTTGATGGTAATCTAATATATAAAAATGAAACCGGGTTTCCGTTGTCACGACATAACATGAAATCGGCTTGACCGATTTGGCTAATTTTAGTCTTGAATTATTCGTGGAAGTCTAGGGAAGGTTTAAAAGGTGAAAAAATATAAAAAAGCTCGGAATTATATAAAAACAAACAATTTTGTTTTTCCTTTGAATTGTCCCCTTGATGTGTCTTTTAGTTATCGATTGAGGCACTACGAAGTCTGCCGGATCAGCTAGTACCAAATAAAACGCAACTCTAATTACAAAGATAAATGTCAAGTATGAAGCGAAATGTCGCTTAACTTTCACCCATCGACTTAATAACAAAAAGAAATACCTATTTCCGCAGTGAGGATCGGACCCGACATGACTCTT